AATTGGGTCTGGCAATTTTGGTTCGTTATATCCAGGGTTCGGTATAAATAGGTTCGGTATAAACAGTGTCAACTGTATTAGTATGTCAAGATCGCAAAATAACGTTTGATTTGCGCTATCCAAAATTTGGCCGAGTCTGAGCAAAGATTAGATAGTTATGATAATAAGTAAGATTAGCAGCAGCTTTGGTAAAAGGCTCTATAACTAAATTCTTTTCTAACTTTTTAGCTCTTAGTTATAATAAGAATTATATTATAGGACATACAAAAGTAGTAGCTTTAGGCAAAGACTCTGGAATTAAGTCATTTGATAAAATAATAGCATGTTTAAACCGGATACACTAATACTAATACTAATAAATGACTCTGCCAACATTTTTAAAAAATAAAATTTAGCATTAAATATTATAAACCATAAGTAAATACAATAATGGGTAGATCTAAAAATATAAATAAAGCAAGCTCAGGGAATCTGTCTCATGAAAATGCTTAACGTATAACGGTAATATTAATGGAATTTGGGCCATTCAAATGAATAAAATGACCACAATAAGTAAAAATACTCCGTTGTTTAATGGTACCGCGGATTAAATGTTATGCTTCATGAGCCTCTAAACAGCTAATAAATTAAAGTCAAAAGTCGAATACCCTTTGTTCTACAAATTTTTGAAACACCTTTTCTCTCAATCTCAATCAAAAGCACCTTTACAATATTTACCCTAATACTAATGTTAATATTGACGGTTTATATTTCTTATGTCAATGTGCTCAGCCACCATTCACGTAATAGATGACGATGATACGCGAGATTTACTCCCAAATTCTTTAAGGTGTCCTTTCATAAGAAAAAGATCCAAAAGTTACTGGCTATACATCATTTTAAACCTTATTGATTACCGACTCATGTTTAGAAAGTAGATAAATTTCTTACACGTTCATCGTCATTTTATTATACGTAAATTCTATTGAATTCAATTTCTATAGTAGAAGGTTGGGCGTTATAAATCTAAAAACTTGTATAATTTATGAAACCACTCTCTAGCAAAGGCGCATTTAATGTCCACTATTGATGCCGAATTTTTATGTGATTTTTTATGATAAGGTTTGCATAACATTAAAACATCCAGTTCCATTTTCCGTCACTTTGCCCACTACTAGTCTAGCAGAGGGTGTCCGTAAAGGTCACGATATCCATGAATAACAGCTTGGGTCAAGAAGTAACATGTTCTCTCGAAACTCATTTGCAGCAATGGTGAAGTGTTGGATTCCATTCCAGTACGACTATGGGAATTGAAGCCGCCTTCGTGAGTCTTTGTAAAGAAGATTGTACTAGGGAGTCAGTTTTCAAGTAAATCAAAATAAACCGAAATTTTTAGAAAAACCACTACCATATAGTCAGCTACCAAAGTCAAATGGCGTGCATCGACGGCTATACCATACATTTGAAATACACTAGATATTTCTTTTATGATAACAGCTCTTGCAGCTTCAACGCCATAAAATCTCAAAACTGCTGCGATATCATTCGTATAAATGTTGTTTATTTCGACAATTGACTTTTCATCTCGCACTATACCAGGTATATTAACACCATCCGTTATAAAGTATTCCTATATGCCGGTGATCAAACGGAAATTAGATCATTCAAATGATGCTAAAAAACAGAAGAAACAAAAGAAATAATCTTACGCCATCCGTCATTTTCTGTGCTGGATAGCACTTGCTAATTCCGGGAACCTCACGAAGCACGACACCCCGACACACTTTCTCGACAACTTCAAGCATCAATATCTTTGCTGTACCACTTGGAATCTGTAAAAGCATATTTCGTAAAAACTTTGAATATATAATTCCCAGTAATGAGTCAACTTAATTTTTTTCGTTACCTGGACGGCGTGTCACAAGCTGAGTTTCGTATCTTCTGAATTAATTAACGTCGTTTTTGTACTTACGCGTCGGAGTGAGTATAATCTAGCAAACTCATTCACAAGTGTTGGTGTACGTGTTTCATTACGTCCAAGACATGGCATCATTATCATCACCTCAACACCATTACGTTTGCAAATAGCGTAATAGACTTTGTCCATTGGACTTGACTTTATGTCGATAATTTGCCAGCAAGGAATCCATTCAAGTCTGTGTTCGTTATCATATATACTTTCTAAAGAGGCTTGAACCAAGCTGTTGATTGCTAGATTATGTGTACCCTTGACCCCAGGAATTAACGACATGGTTTGAATAAAATTTTCCAGTGAGAGGAGCATATTCAATCAATTTATTTGTTACATTGTACATTGCAATCAGTTGTTAAATATTGCTATAAAAGTTTATTTATTCGACAGTTGTATGCACGCGCAATACAGTCACTCTTAAACTTGCTCAACTTCTTAGCTGCTAGCTTTGTGAATTAACGGGACGGCATCTAATTTTCTTTTGTGATATTCGTGATTAAACAGTTGAATTTCTCAAGTTCATACACTGCGTTACTCCAATCATGTATTATATTGCGTAGACATAACAGACGAGTATGTGTAGTTTAACGAATATTTGTCGTCATGTTAACGATTATATATGGGTAATTGAAAAAGAAAATATTTAGCGATAGATAGGACAAACGAAAAGAAGAATACACTTGATCAAGAGTCTGTAAAATTGTGTGTTCAATCTAAGCAGGAAGTCATCAATTATCTTACGCATTACAATTAAAAATCGGATTGTAAGCCATTCTCCTATTTTCGTCATTGAACACCAAAGTATCCAAGTTGACAATAAAACAACTAAATGCCTATCAATCTGTGGCTTAGCGCATAATTATGCTTTTTTCGTTATATGAGTTTATTGACAAACTGATAGTTCATTTCAATCACTGCCCGTATTTGTACGATCATAAGTTCTTGACAGAACAGAAATAACAAATAACAGCATTCTTGTGTTTCGCACAATTTACGTTCCAATATTTAATACTCATGTTGATCCCGAAATTGTTGACACGTCAGTTCATCATTTATGACGAAACTTGCTTCCTAACTTACAATTATATATGCAGAAACGATATCCACACTCATGATTGTTATAAATGCCCGCGTTAAAATCTCTGCGCCTTTTTTGCAATGTTGGCACGTAAACATTACATTTTTCTGTTTCAGTACGATTTGCGGGTCGAATACGTTCTCAAAATTTGGCTCGCCGACAAAGCCGTCGTATAATTAATAGAGCTATGGTGTGCGTTGAGAGACTGTAAGAATAAGAGAAACAGAGTAGAAGTTAATTCCAAAGTCGTTGGATGGTTATTAGCCAATGGGAATAAAGATATCCTTCCGCATGCAAGATTGTTGTGCAATGACGTCAGATGGCGTGACCATATTGCTGTACTTTGATTTACAAGCGCAGCGCGTGTCGCGTTAGTCTTTAATTCCTACACTAAAGTTCCTCGCTCGCAATATACTCACAATTTCAGCAAATATGCCTTTTTCCATCTTAAACGATCTCTTTGGTTGGTTCTATAATAATGAACCTCAAATAGACGATAGACGGACGACAGCTGAAGCGCAATTTAGTCTCGGTTGCCTTTACTTAAACGGAATTGGAGTAGACAAGGACGTACAGAAAGCGGTTGAATGGTATCAAAGAGCAGCTAGACAAGGTCATGCTGATGCGCAAAACAATCTTGCCACGTTCTATGCAAATGGAATAGGAGTAGAGAAGGATGGGAAAAAAGCGGTTGAATGGTATCGACTAGCAGCTGAACAAGGCCACGTTCAGGCAAAGTATGGTCTTGGTCAGTGTTATAAAAGTGGAGTTGGAGTAGAGAAAGATGAGAAAAAAGCGGTTGAATGGTATCGACAAGCAGCTGAACAAGGGTTTGCAAAAGCACAAAATGATCTTGGTTTGTGCTATCAGTATGGCATTGGAGTAGACAAGGACGCACGCAAGGCGGTTGAATGGTATCAAAAGGCAACTGAACAAGGTGATACTGATGCGCAATGTAATCTTGGTAAGTGTTATCAGGATGGAACTGGAATAGACAAAGATGAACGGAAGGCGTTTGAATTGTATCAACTATTAGCTAAACAAGGTGATGCTGCTGGGCAAAACAGCCTTGGTGTGTGTTATCAGAACGGAATTGGAATAGAAAAGGATGAGCGAAGGGCAATCGAATGGTATCGAAAAGCAGCTGAGAAAGGGTATGCTGGGCCACAGTTTAATCTCGGTTGTTGTTATCAGCATGGAACTGGAGTAGAAAAAGATGAGCAAAAGGCAGTTGAATGGTACCAAAAAGCTGCTGAACAAGGTTGTGCTATAGCACAAAATAGTCTTGGTTACTGTTATGCCGATGGGATTGGAGTAAAAATGGATGCACAGAAGGCTGTTGAATGGTATGAAAAGGCAGCTAAACAAGGTTATATTGACTCACAACATAATCTTGGTAATTGTTATGACACTGGTACCGGAGTAGGACTAGATGAACAAAAGGCTGCTGAATGGTATCAAAAGGCTGCTGAACAAGGACATGCTAAAGCACAGCATAATCTTGGTTTCTGTTATCAGTTTGGAACTGGAGTAAAAGTGGATGGACGAAAGGCATTTGAATGGTATCAAAAGGCAGCTGAACAAGGACATGTTGATGCACAGTCCAATCTTGCTTGGTGTTATTTGAGTGGAACTGGTGTGGAAGAAAATAAACAAAAAGCAGTCGAATGGTATCAAAGAGCAGCTGAACAAGGTCTTACTAATGCACAGTTTAATCTGAGTCAGTGTTATAAGAATGGAGTTGGAGTAGAAAAGGATGAACAAAAGGCTGCTGAATGGTATCAAAGAGCAGTTGCACAAGGATTTGTATTGAGAGAGTAGACAGATGTTATAGTTATTGAATTGAACAGAACAGCTTTATAATTGCATTTGCATTTGTTAATTAACAAGCTATATAAATCAAAATTATTGCAAATTTGCTCTAGTTTTTTTTTTTGCAGAAATTACATTTTTCTACAGGTTCAGTAGCATTGTGCAGTAGTAGTAGGAGGCCTTCAGTCTTATGAATATCATAACTGTTTCTTTTATTATTATGTAAACTGGTCTCTATCTCAGATTTGACAGTGTGCTTTCTGTTGGGCCACATTTTTAAAATAAATAAATAGTAAATTTATCAAATATTGTCCAATATTTTTATTTTGTGCATGTTCATTCAAATATATCAATTTGTCTCTGGTGTGACTTTCCATATACTAATACAGTATATATATTTTCCATAATATTTCATGTTTCCCAATTTTTTGTTCTCACTTCCATTTTAGGCAGGAACAGAAAATGAAATAATTTCCCCTGTAACTAACTCTAGATGCATAGACAACTGCAGCAGACTACTAATCACATTCCAAGAGTGAAAGAAAATGACAACAAGCCTCTGCATATTTTTAATAAGTCATATCATATATTAATAACCAATTGCGATAATCTTCGTTTAACATTCATATTAATATAGATATCTCTGCACTATTCGACAAAAAATCTAGTGTCAACAAACTCTTGACACATACTACCCAAATTCCTTAATATTACATCTCTGCTATCTGTGTTTAATAAAAAACTCGAAACTCCTCTTCTATCCTTGCGTTTGAAAATAAATTGTTTAGTTAACGCATCACTCCTGATGCATGCTCTCCATCGAGCAGGATTTCTGCTCACTGACAAAAGGCGCTTGCATTTTGCGTTTCTAGATGTTTAGTATGAATAAAGAGTAAAGCTTAAAACTTTAGCAAGAGTAGATCTTGAAGATCCAAGTAGCTTTTTTGCACGTGTCCGCCACTTTTCTTTTTCAGATCGCGGTAACGATTTGTCACGTGGTACTATTCGTTTCTGTTCCATGTGGCGATTTATATGATCATCTTGATATTGTTGTGGTAGTGACATTTTCGGGGGGGGGGAGATGACTCGGACAGTTCTTATTCTTAATAGTACTGGACGTGTAGGAATTATTGGTTCGTTCGCATACGTAAAACACTTGCAAATTTACCAAAGTCTTTTCAATCACATTGGCCTCTTCTGTTACTTGAACAGTTCTTTTATTGACTTCAAAAATATCGATTCTCAAAATATAACAGCAGACTTTTTATGCACGCAGCAATTAACGCGACGCAGATCGTCATCTACACTTCACATCCATGGCCGTCAGCGTGATCGCGTATCCCTTTGAAATAATGCATATACAGTCGCACCTCTATTTAAGAACCAAGTTGGGACCATAGTGATTTTTGAAAAAAATGTTCTTATGAAGAGGTGTTCTTTTATAAAGGTTTTTTTTTATAAGTTTAATAATAATTGGGTCTTTGATGCAATGTTCTTGTGAAGAGGTTTTTATATGACGTTCTCTTATAGAGGGCTCTTTTATGGAGGTGCGACTGTATGAGTACCAATTCTTTACATCTATAAATTTCATCTGTTAGAATCTAGATTTTATTTAAACTCACCAAACAATTAGCCAAAAAAGGTCATTCCCGAACCAGAAGAGACGTTTAACATATGCATGCTTTTGCCAACGTTATGAAAGTCGAATTCCGTAAATCAGACTTTGTTCCCATTGTCATCTGTACCTCATTTTGCTTCCCTATTATAGGCACCATATTGTATCTTGTGTGGAATCGTCATACCCTAATCTTTTGGCTCGCGCGCTCTCTCGTCATATACGCGTCTTTTTCCAGCAAACGCGAAATCTCGTAGTGTAACTCTAGTCGTTCGCGGTAATTTGAAGTACATTTGATTAGGTATTGAATACGGTTGGACCAGATGGACTGAGGTACGTTCTGTTATATCCGCAGGATAATCGCATAGCAATACTACTCATGCCAGGTTGAAATCGAAGCGGTCGAGAGATGCAAAGAGTTTATCGTAATCAACGATATTAGCCGCTCGTTTAGAAGAGAAAATCAAAGTGTCACATCTTGGAATTGTCAATCGAGAAGATGTCTCATATCGATCGTCCGAACTTGAGTATGTTAAATCCATCAGTAACTTTTCGGCAGCGTGGTCAATAATTCCCGAAACATCTTTGCTAATGTTTAACAAGTCTGGTCTACTGATTATCCGTCTTCGTCAATATCATATCTTCTGAACTGATTGTACAATGTCACAAGTATAGTCGATAGCCGTTGTAACATAAGAGGATTGGTCATTCCAGTTATTTATGAAATTGTTGGGAAGAGTAGCTTGCAGGTGCCAATACATTCTAACATCGTATTTGTGACATAGTCAGCTTTTTCGTTGAAGGGCTTGCGAAACTCGTTAGTCTCGGGATCCCTTGAACACTTACTGTCTTCAGTCTTTTTTCTAATTCCGTATTTCTTCTAAGCACCAGGCTGTGGGACGAGCGTTTCAATTGTTAGGTTTGTTGATATAGGTTTGGAATCACATGATAACTGCCATTATAAAATATTGTATTATAATAAAACTACTCTCTTGTTGCGGTTATGAGTCATTCATTCTAAGCAAAGATTGAAAATGATAATTGTGACGCGACAAATTGTGTTACCAGAGCTATATAAAATCATTGAACGCGGTTTCTTGCTCACTGATCTGAAGCATGTTCACTACGCAGTATTACGGTTCACACTACGCAGACATTATACAAAAATTACTGACATTAGGAATAAAGACAGGTTCGTCAAGCGCGCTGCCAGCTAGTGTGTAGCAATTCGCAATTAGCAAAACACCTAATACTTTATTCTCTACAAATAGAGAGAGATCTTCTATTTGCCAAAGACGAATTCATACTCTCGAAAACCGACATTTCTCCCGAAGTGAGCATTTACGTCTTCCTTTAGCAATATTGCCAAATATCCTGCTTAATGCTAAGCGACAAAGCTAGGACTATTACGAATTTAAACGAGAAGTAATTGCTACGTGTAAAGTACCTGTAAAGAGAGGATCAAGTCTTATAGAAGAGCATCAAAGGAGTTTAACGTCAACCGGATGTATAGGGTAATGATAGTTTGGTGAACCGAATTGGGCATTTATAGACATGGATTAAAACATGAGTTTTGTTGGCCCTTAGACTTGATAATATTCTCGAGGGAGGTTTACCTATAGGCGAAATTACAGATATATCTGGTGCAGCCGGAACCGGAAAAACTCAGGTGTCTATGCAAATTTTGTTATAAAAACTGTTCCTTTTCTACCGTAACTAATTCTTGTATTCACGTTTTGTTTTTTTTAATTTCGCACAACTCAGTTAGCACACTTTATATCACTAGCAACAATAACATCTTCCTTTTTTTCCACTGCTGACCCACCTTTTTCCACCTCTTGTACCTTAACGCCAACTCTTTCCAGCGTCATCTATATCGACACAACATCATCATTCCACCCAACGCGTATACGTGACCTATATCTTCACAGTGACAAGTTTGCCGATTTACGTGATATTGGCGTGGGCGTTGACGTTGTTCTATCGAGATTGAAGATTCATAGGTGTTTTGACGTGTATGATGTTTTGGAGACTGTTGAGAGCATTAGGAAGGAGTTGGAATTGAGAATTGGTGATGAGAAGCAAATAGTGGAGGTGGATGATGGAACGGAAGATGGTGTAGAAGATGGAGTGGAAGATGAGAAACAAGTGAAGAATGAGAAATTAGCATGCGGTCAGGAAGGATTGTGGGATGAGAGGGAAGAAGAAACGAATGTTTTGGCCAAAAATAGTAAAGGGAACGGAAAGGAACATGGCGAAACAAAATATTTTTACGGTCAGTTGAAATTAATAGTGATAGATTCTGTATCGGCTGTGTTGTCTGGATTACTCCAAACGTCGCATTCGCAAGGTAACGATAATATTGATTTAAAAAAAGTTGTATTTTGTATTTTAGTTGGGACCTGTCTCGGTTCTAGACTGAGACAACAGAGTTCTGATTAACGAAACGCTTGCGTTACACGCATGCTATATTAATAGTTTTATGTAATAGTAAAATCTCGCATTTTTCTGATATACAGGATATTCGCTAATGATGACTTTAGCACAAATGCTTCAGCACATGGCAAGAATGTATAATATTCTGATATTGGTACGTTTTTATTTACCAATTGGGTTTCAACACCTCGATCCGCTCTTTTCGTTTGCTCATATCGATATTCCACATTTACATCGCAATCAAGACAGTGACATCTTGTGTATCCTCCCAGACTGTGAAGACGCTTTCCGCTTTTCCAGCCGTCGACACCAAACCAGCTCTCGGCACTACATGGACTCATCTTCCATCGCTGCAGCTGTACCTTTCTCGATGTGCTGACGAGGAGAGAGTATACACTAATAGAGATGGAGAAGGAATAACCGTTCAACCGAGGGTATGCGAAGTTTTGAGAGCGCGAACTGGCGTTATGGGACTATGGTGTTTAGTTTACATGGTGAGTAATAGGGGAAGTGAACGAGTAGGTTTTGTATATATAGCATCCCGGTTGATATTATTATTTTTGCTCAGGGTGGTAATGAAATATTCGCACCAGAATTCACCGAAGATGAAGACGACGAAGACAAAGATGAAGATGATTATAATGAACTAGAGGCGGAGAATTTGATATTTACGATGTAAAGTTCATAGACAATAATATAATGCTTGACGAACGGTTCACTGGTTAGATAATTATTGCACTTTTATCCTTTGATCAAAATGGTACGCGTTTTTCGTCCACAATTATCCACATCATCAACCGCTGTCTCGTCGTTTAATATTGAATGTTTGAAAGTATCCGTTTCAGGTTGTAGTTTTCGTTTACGGCTGTGTTAGCAGTTTAATTTTTCCTGATATGGTATGATATATTGGGAAGAACAGGACCAAGGTTATGCTCAATATATGTAGACGATACTCGTAGGACAGCAAATTGGCATCCATATGGATACTTGTAAATTTTTGCATATAGTAAATTTATCGGCATGTGCCGAGAATGTCTCATGTGTAAAAATTAAAATAACCGAGCTTAAATTAGACGATAAGTTTGCACCACTGAGAAATACGAGCGTACTTGCATTTCTTTTCTTTTCTTTTCTTTTCTTTTCTTTTCTTTTTTCATTTTTGCGGACATGCCCGAGAGGAAATAACAAAAGTAAACTGATCTTGTGTGTAAGCATACTCTAATCATAATGACACGGCCAAAAATGTGAACAGTCAATATACTTGAGAAAAAGCCCTTTTCACATCAACGTAATTCACATGAACAAGACAAATACACCTTGGCACAGGGTGTGTATACGGTTTCATGTTACTGTAGAAAAGAAATCGATTCGAAATTGTGTGCACATACTCCCATCTCGATATTTGGTAAAACGTTCTCATCGCCATCCAGCGAACTTTCTCCGAAATCTAACAAAGAATTTTGAAGCATGTTTGTTGTACAAAGCATGGCTCCGACTAGTTTTAAGCAACCGAATTTTAACCCCGGTATACTATAAGGCAAAAAGCGGGGGTTTGCATAAATGTAAACAACAAGTTTAGGTTTTGGCAACAAGATAACAAGAACATAAAGAATTGAAAAGAAAAAGGCGAACAGTGCGGATGTAAAGAATTAATATCATATGGTAGATATATATAGATAGCAATAAGCGTTAGGAATCATATAAAAATCTCGGGTGCGGTAAAATATATTGAGGGATGCGATATTCGGATAAAAGGGAAAAAAGGTTACGAATTTCCGCGAAATATTAATAAACACCCTTGAACATCGCCCACCGGTTTCCTTCAACTGAAAACTTAACACTTGCTACCTAGTAGCCTCTACAATTACTCACACCCAAACAACGGGGGTTGCTTACCACCTTGTCTCCATCTCTAAAGAACTTGAAAAAAGCTTGTTGATGAATAACGAAACGGGGGGTAGAGCATGAAAAGAGAAGGACTGGCCGCCTTTGTATGATTCTAAACTGAATCATAAAGGTGAACGACCGTGAAGAAGGAACGGGTAAAATGATATAAATATGTGAGCAGATGCGATGGAAAGAGTAGAGTAAGGGGCGAATTCATTTCGACATTGGAGCTATATTTTTCGCAAGTCTTGAGAAAATCAACATTTTTTCTGCCGACCGGAAAAGCAAGTAACAAACGCCTTGTACCATTATAAGTTTTCCGATTGGGAAAAGCAAGTGGAGCATTTGATCCGGGGCTGTCGTGCTGCTGACATGTAATATATGACAAGATGTCCTTCCCTTGAGATGAAACAACAATTCTTGGCATATGGATTGTAAGGTTGTATCAATGGGCGATAAGTTGGTTATTGTTTATTACTTTGCATAATCCCTTTAGTGTTCTTAATGAATAGTGATAATTAATTAATTGTTAGCCTAAATTCTCCCACACCCTCTTCTTCTCCAGCATTCTTCCCCGCCCCCCTTTCCTCCTTCACAATGTTTTCGGATTCAATGGAAATGCTGATACATTATTATTATTGATAAGTTTTGTGTGTATGTTTTGTGTTTGGTTTTGTTTTTTTTCTCACGTTTCACTTTTGAATCTAACCACGCGATGTCCTTGTTGGTTCGAAACCAACCACTTAAACAGTTTTCTTTAGGACGCCATATTTGGCGTACAACTCTTCAAGCGAATTAAAATTGCAAATGAGTGATGCAAATTTGGTAGATAATGCAAATGTTTGTTAGTTGTACCAAATTATTCTATTACAAATACTGACATGAAATGATCTATGGATAGATAATAGACTCATTGTCATTATTGACAGACAAGCGGCTTCGTTTGTCTCAAAGTTTGACAAATTTGTGATGTACAAGTAACGCACGTTATTAATATACGGGGAGGGATGACGATGAACGGATGAACGGATGAACGATGAACAAAACCAGTCACCAGTGGCTCAGCTGACTCTATTTGCTATTCCGGCTCGACAAGGAAGAACGCATGATCATTTTCCTTTATCATTTTCATGATCGGAAAGATCGGGTTACAATTAAACTGTGTTGTGTTATAAAAAGTCACCATGTCTTATTCTGTGCATAGGGGAGATGTCTTACAGCAGCAGTGTCACTGTAACTGAGATTAATATTAATAATATGTGTATGATGTACAGCAAAGAGAAGGGTAAGAATGGTTACTGTGTTACTTGAATATGCGCTCGTGGTTTTAATAGTTGAGTCCACGGTGCACTCATGGTGCGTTACGCTATAACTTAAACGCATAGTGTATTTACGGTGTGATAGCTGATTCGCTGGAATGAGACAAGGAAGTTTCGGAGATAAGGACATCAATTACAAAGAAAAAAAAAAGATATGATGGATGCAACCCAAGGATAATTAATTAATAATCGTAAAGGGAACGATATATAATCGGAGATAGGGTTAATTTAAAAAGTGTAACGTAAACGGTCGTTGATTGTTCTCGAACTTGTGCAAAAAGTCTGGAACCTTTTCAAAAGCGTAGAGAATGTCGAGGGATGTAGAATGGGTTCATGGGGCGTAGAGTGGGGAAAATAGATTCTTTAGCTCTACATATAAATGGAAAACAGTGTTTATCATTACTAGTTATAAATCAATATAAACAATTAGGGTAAATAAGTGATTATATACGTGTATGTTATATATGGTAGGTATATACAGTATACCGTATATGTATAAATTTATTATGTACAGTGTACCGTATATGTATAAATTTATTACATACAGTATACCATATACGCATTATGTCATACGCCCCCCATACCCACTGCACTGCAAAAAGTTGACGCATTCATCCATTGTTAATAGTTGTTGTCATGTACTGTGTATTATCACTACTATGTATGGCAAAGCTTTGTAGGATAATGATTTAAGATACTCCATTCAATGTGACACATGATACAACATAAAATTTTGTAATATGCCCTAAACTGATAACAAGGATACTTCAACAACGACATCGTAAAGAAAGAGGACCAATAAAGCGCTCCTGAAACTGGAGTACAACTCGGCATGATTTTCTTTATATACGACTCTTCAGTACGACGAGTTTAACTCCACTTTTTTCAGTTAAGAAAGTGTGTAGACTGTGTTTTGAAAGCAAGAATTCCCCCTTTTCCCTTCCGCACCCCCCCTTTTTTTCACGGACATATAGTATATTAGAAAAAGCCCAAACGTAATCAATCGTACATCATCTTTGCTCTGAGAGCAAGGGAAAAAGTGAAAAAGAAAGCTTGATTTATAGAAAAAGCCGAATATTATAGAAATCTCGACCCCCCAAACACAATCGCGCGTAGTAAAAAAAAATTTCACACACAAATCAATATCAACATCAACATCAACATCAACAGCATCATCAACAGCATTTCATCAAAATCAAACAACATCAACAAAATCAACAAACAACAACACTGTCAAAATGACTGCATCAGTAGAAGATCAAAAAACCTTTTTCTCATCATCTCTACATTCTTCACCCACTACATCACCCCGCTCATCATCCTCTCCCTCTCCATTACCTGCATTGTATCCCGTGCAAAAGACCGATGAACAGAAACTCCAACAAACTTCCTCCAAGCTACGCCAAATCGCGCCCGCTCCTCCATCACCCGTCAACGTCGGTGGACAATCAGACTATAGCGTATACCACATACCAAAAGGGTTCGAAGTCATTATAGTTCCCAAGACTGCTGGCACGCCTGACGGAAACAACAACTCTGTCGCTGCTCAATCCATCCCCAAGATTCCCATTTCTCCCGTCTATACAGCTTCTTCAACCGATTCTTCAGACCGCTCTTCCTCCCCTTCCACTCCCCCCTCCTCTACTTCTCCGTCCACCGCATCAAACATGCAAGCATCGTCCTGGAGAAAACGACAAAAGACTGGTCACATTCCGCGTCCGAAAAACTGCTTTATGGCCTATCGCGAATCCATACAGCACAAGATTCTCAAAGAACGGCCCGGTCTAAACAACAAGATCGTCTCCATCATTGCCGCTCAACAATGGAACCGAGAATCCCCTGCCACAAAGAATCACTGGAGGGAGGTTGCAAGGCAGTTAAAGGAAGAACATCAGAAACTGTATCCGAATTACAAATTCGCACCGAAAAAGAAGATTGGAAAGAACGGCGGGAAAGGTGTTGTCAAGGGAGCGATGGGGAAAAAGGCCACTGCAGGTTGTGATAAAGAGAAGGCAAGACTGCAGCAACAGCAACAACAGCAGCAACAGCAGCAGCAACAGCAGCAGCAGCAAGGACAATACCAACAGATAACGTTACAATCGACTCAATCGCAATCTTTCCCTCGAACCGTCTGGGGCCATTACCGCTCATCGTCTGTCGAATCATTTCACTCTTTTGTCAGCGACTCTTCCACGTTTGCATCACCACCGACATCCTTTACATCACCACCATCGCCGACATCCTACTCATCACCCTCACCACACATGTCACTATCGTCATCATCGCCACTTCGCTACGAAGCATACTCTGACGGTACGCATCCGATGCCATTCGAATTCCACCGCCTGTACACGCAGATAACGATGCCGTCATTGCAATTGAGCGAATTTCCATTCGAATCGAATGATCTAGTGACGCCCATCGATGTCGAATCGGTCGACGTTGGGGGTAACGATGGTAGCGGAGGGTGTGGTGGAAACGGAGCGTTTTTTGATAATTCTGCCGAGTATGGATACGACGATTTCATGACGGATGATGACGATAGCATGAGAGGATTTCATTATCTGGCCCAGGATGCGAACGGAGAGAGAATGGGTCAAGGGATTTTGGAGCAGCAGTGCAGGCAAGAGCGTATGTGTCAGCAGCAGCATGCGTTGGTTCCGTTCGAGTGAGGAATTCGGGACTACTGTTTTCCGTTTATTTTTGTCTTTTGCACGTTTTACATAATTCATCATTCACACTTTATCTTTTCATTTATTTATTTGCATTTATATACATATATACATATTATACATATCTACCATTGTTTCTCATCCGAGTTCTTCATTTGCATTTTTTTTTCTCATCATGTTTATTATTTTGCATTTTTCTTTTTCTTTTCTTGCATTCTCCCCCCCCCCCCTCTTTGTAACCCATTCCTTTTTCATATAGATTATACATATATACACACACATTCACTTTCCGCATAGAGTTTCGGGTTACAATATTAAATACTATAGACATGCGTATGTATACATACGCGATATATATACATTTGCATTGCATTCATATTCACTTGTAAGTAGCAAAATAGACTTTTCCTTTATTATTTACATACAACCACCCCCCAAAAAAACCAAAAACATCACAATCACAAACACAAACACAAACACAACACAAAGACACACATACTCACCGATCGCATTCTTTTTACTACGCACTTTTTTATTCCAAAAACTTCATGACATTCATAATGGGAGGATTTTGGTGAATTTCACTAGTTTTTCGGTTTAATCTCTTTCGATTTGTTTTTTTTTTCCTTTGCTTTCATAATTTCTGTTCATTTTTCCAACTCGTTTCTTTTTCTCTCCTTTTTTGTGTTTTTCACCATTAACCCATTCATTGAATGATTGGCTAAGATTTTATATATTCGGCAATTTCAAAGTTTTAATTGACACTTTTTCTTTTGCACTAATATGATGAAATGAACACGTTATGGCTTTTTTCATATCCGAATTAAAATATACTATAATGACAATGTAAAAATTCACGTAACAAAAACTTGGCGTAATTTTTTTCTAAAGAAAAAAAATTGCGTTAAATAAAGGCATAATTCTTGATTCTTAATTTTAATCCAAGTCTTTTTAATTGTGGTTTTTCAAACTTGATGTTTGATGTATGTAATCAAACGTGTATCGATATTGTCTATTATTATGCATATGACATGTTTGTCGAAGAGAAAAGAGTGCCCCCTCGGTTGATGGTTGATGGCCGTTTGTGATTGGCTCATGTGTCATAATGATTTGAAATCATCCCGCACTTGAGGTTTCTATATTTGGGTTATACGATTTTAGTTGTGTAAACAGAAATATGCATATAATTAATGAAAAAAGCCACAAGAGGAAAGGAAAAGATGGGTTTTGTTTTTGGTCTCACAGCCCCAAACATCATTCTACAATAGATGTCATTGTCTCGATGGTTTTCCCACGACTGCGACTGACAAATGAAACGGCATAATATAGTGATGTATGTATGTTATGTTATGTTATGTGTGTGTGTATGCTGTATATGTGTGTGTATATATGTATTTATTGGGTAGGCTGTTTGTAAGTCTAGGAGATAAAGACGATTCAACATGACGTTCTACTCGACATGATTGTTTTCATTGCTGCTTCTTGATACCTCAGATAACATGTTACAGTATACTGTATGAGGACATTATGTAATGTGTGTAACACTTTATATAGTAATGCGTATATCAGAAATAAGATTAATGAGATGGAACAACGGGGGGTGTGTTTAGTTTTATTTAGGGGTGATGTCAAAATTCATTTCATTCCCCCCCATAATATGTATACATATACATGTACATATATACATAGTTATTATTATTATTATTATTATCCGGTCAACATCCAATTACAAAAACGCGCGCGTGTACAACGCGATGATTGTGTTATGTCAGCAAGCTTTTTTTTTTTCACGGTTTAAAAGAGGGGAGAGACATATTAATATGGGCGCTTGGGCTTTACTTATTTATCTATTTACTTTGTTTATTTTACAAGCATTGGCACCACGATGAAATTGACATCTGCGTCTGGAGATCTTCAATGCACAAAGAAAACTAGTAATACATAGTAATAGTGATAGTAATAGGATAACACAACGACTAAATAGAAAGGTGACGATCAAAAGGGGGGAAAGAAAAGGGGGGAAATGGGGAAAATGGAAAGAAATAGGGAACGAGTATGTTGAATGTGTTGAATATAATGTGCATGCATGTATAATATAATAAATATGGTTAATCACATTATAAACTTCCGTATAACATGATCACATGTCTGTTATATCACACATATACTATCACTGTTATATATTATTACAGTATTCTCTTTCCCATCACCAATAATCCACCCATATACTCGCAGACAATCTATTGTATCCATTTACGTTGGAATATAAACCACCGACACTACTATCATTTTATTTTATTTGACAGGTCTGACATTATCTCGTGTGCGATCCCTGATTGTCACGCGTGTTATTTCATTAAGTATGTACTGTATATTCTATATTAATATATACACTCATACTGTATATTCATTTCTGTATATATTCGCTCTTACACGTGAACGGTTTGACTGTAATTTCTTTGTGTAAACCTGAAACGCATATGGCAAATACACAAAATCAGACGATGTGATGACAATCCTTTCCCCCCTTGCTTTTGTGTCGCCCTGTTTTAAAAAAAAGGTCGGGAATATTTTGGTTTTTATTTAACGGCAATATAAATTGTTGAGAAGAAATATAAAAAAAAGTAAAAAGAAAAAATGTGAAGAATTGAAAAAAAAAAAAGGAAAAGAAAAAAAAACAACTTATTGTTAGATGGTGGATATTATCAGAAGATCTCTTATAGCGTTATCTCGAAATAGGTTTCATATTAAAGAGAACTTCAATCTTACAATTGTACAACCGCAAGTTGAGCTTTATAAATGATGAGGAAAGGATGGGGGTTTTTTTTCGGTTATTTGGTAGAAAAAAACACAGTTTACATAGAAAAGGTCATCGCGTTGAAAAAGACGAAATTTTAAGCCTTATAAGAAAACAAACGAAAATGATATGTTACGTAATATTGCGAAAATAAACTTAAAAAAAAAATTTAATAAAAACTATATACATTAAGGGAAAAGGGGGTACAAAAGACAAACTTGTCGACTTTTTTAGGTTAAATTGCGAATTTTTAAAAACGCGTTAATAAGCATTTGTTGGCAAAACGAAAATTATGTTATATAGAAGAAAAAGAACACAAATCAACTTGCATTTTTAGGATAGAGTGAAAATAAATCATATAAAGCGCTATTGTAAATTCTAATAACGTAATCTTACGCTAATTTCAAATATCGATATTTGCATTCAGCAAAGAATGGTACGAATGAGATTTTCTATAAGAAGAGGATAATATATCTATAAAAAAACGTAACACTTTTCGAACGGGTATATAGAACAGGATCATGTTTCTTCTATTTCTTTTTCCGGGAAAGAAAAAAAAAACGAGAAGAAAGTAATTGTGAATTGATTCTCTGTTAGGGAATAAGTAATCTTTTGGCCATATACTGTTTAGAGAAAATCATTGGGGTTCCAAAACCATCGACTTATCCTCCTCCAAAAACATACTAGAAGAAAAGAATTGAAAACGTGATAACCCACAGGAAAAAGGAAACATTCTCCAACTCTACTCAATAAGTTTGTGTATCATCCGCCTTTGTTTTTTCGTCCAACAAATAGAAAAAACATCACTATAATCTTTCGAGAAAAACAAAGCAGACAAAAACAAACAATAGTTTCCTCCTCAAAAAAAAATATAAATATTCCAAAAAAAATAATAATTATTCCTCGCATAATTCTCCAATATTTTTTAAAACCTCGTATTCGCTGGCCATGTAAACTGTCGTCCACTAGCGTTATGATTATTGTTGCTTACAGGATACGGCAAAGTCCGATCGGCACTAACGCTAAACATTATTTCGCTCAATGTATGCGATGGTTTCTGAGGAATAATCGCGTCATATACACGTGAAACAACTGACGGTTGATAAGCTTCACGACATTCGATTGGTGCTGGTCTACTTGAAAATTGTGAATCCCGGTCGCGTGTGTTGTAGTGAGGGGCACAGCAAGGCGGAGACGAGGAACCATAAGAAGCGTTTCGGTAAAAACCGTTCGCGTCGCCGTTGTTTGACAAGACAAAGCCAGATGCCAGCAATTCTTCATCAACGCCCGACCCGTATCCTTCGGACGAACTGACGGAAAAGGCGGGACTTGGCGGAATGTTTTCTTGTGTCACTTTTCCGTAATTGTTGCTGTAGTTATGGCTGTAGCCGTAGTTGTTGTCACCGCTACGGCTGTAGTCGTCTCGGCCGTTTTTACTATTGTCATTGTTGTTTGCGTTCTTTTTCGACTTGCCGTTCCTGTGTACTTGTTCAATGTGTCTACTGAGATGCCCTAATCTGCAAAAGGTTCTGGTGCAGTGGGGACACTTGTGCCTCTTTGGTCCTGAACTACTTTGTATAGTTTGTTCCGTAAAAATGAATTCAAAGTCCGTATGACGGTTACTACCGTTATGAACAGCGTTCCGAATATACAGTGAAGTATGACGAAATGTTATTTGAGGCATTTTCCCACGAGACTTGTCCTTCTTCTTGAACGCGTGCGTGCGATTGTGACGAGACAGCTCGTCGGACCTGCTGAATCTTTTTCCGCAGCCGCCGTGTTGACAAGCGTGAGGTTTTTCACCGGTATGTATTCGCGTGTGTCTGGTCAAATGTTCGAGTCGAGCAAACCTGTATTCACAAACGACACATTGAAAAGGACGATCCGATTTGGACGAAGAGGTAGACGACGTTTTTGTACTTTGTGGCGACGATTCGAATGGTGGAGGAGAAGAGGAATTGTCAAGAGGAGTCTGTGAATCGCTGTTGAGGAGAGTTTCGATTGGAACAGACATAATTGAGATGGAGAAAAATTGAGAGAAAAAAAAAAAAAAAAAAAAGAATGAAAGTGGGTCAAAAAGAGAATCGACAAGAGTGGAATAAGTTAGGGATCAAGAAAGAAAATAGGCTTCTCTCTCGACGACAATGATATGTGGATAGAGGAGGGGGAAGAGGGATTTGGTTGGTTGTTGGAACAGGAGAGGGCTTGACAAGTTTGAAGGCAAAAAAATGTTCATTTTTAATAAATGTCAAATCTGCCGTGACATGCAGAGGGACGGGCTAGTGTTACCACGATTATTCACATGGTGCGCGAAAAGTTTTGACATTTTTGTATAATATATTACGAGTAACAAGTGTGTTTACATCATCATTCTTGTGTAACAAACCGTAGTAGAATCAAAAAAGCAGAAAGTAAGGAAAAGGAGGACGAGGAAAGAGAAGAGGAAGCCGATAGTATTTGTTTTATTTATTTTTTAGCACTCGTTGAAATTAAAATCGCAGAGGGAAAAAAAAACTCGTACAGATCAGCAACGGTAACATGTGATATTTATTTATATCACGTATATAAAAATTATGCATCATGGTCATCTAAATACATTAAATGTTATCAAAGAAAGACAAAGAAAGGTGAAGAAAAAGATGATATCAACTCTATACATAAATACATACCATCCACCCATGTAATACATACACATACATACATACGTACATACGTACATACATACATACATACATACATACAGACATACAGACAGACATACAGACAGACAGACAGACCGACCATACAATCCATACAATCATTACAACCGTATGCCATCCCATTTATTCATTTATTCATTTCAAACCGTTTCAATCATTTAAACCGCAAACCGTTTTCCCCCCTCCCTATACTATACTATACTATACTATACTATATACTATCTCTCTCTATATATTTTTGACTTGGCGCGGAAACTGAACAAAAGCAATGAGGCGATACTCCTATTATGGTTTATTTCATTGTGAAATCAATCCAATATAGTTAACAAGGCCCGTAGCTTTTTTTTTTTTTTTTCAAACGCTATATTTCAGTGTGCGATGTGTGACAGATACAATACATTAATATTATACATTCAGTTCAATTGATAACGTGCGAAAATAGTGGCTTGTAAAGTTTATGTTGTGCACAACCCACGGGTGAAGCTTACGAGAAAAAAACTCGAGCTTTTTGTTATCGGCGGTTCCGTACGTATGTACGTAATGTAAGTACGTAATGTAAGTACGTACACACACAACGAACAGAAAATCAAAATGTCATTTGTCTATAAAGTAAACAAATCAAACATATTTATACGTATAAAAGAAGTAGCAGAGCAAGTAACAAATACATAAATAACATAATGAACCAAGTAAAGCGGATAAACGCTTTTTGAAACCCACCGCATTCCGTTAGAGTATAATGTGCATATTTACGATTCTCAGCTGTCCATCTCGAGCAGTCTAGTTCCAACCGTTTGTTTCTCCTCCCACTTTATACTGGTCGGTCCAATCCTCGTCATGTTTTCAGCTTGCCCGAAACCGTAAAAATATCCCAACCTGCCCGCATCCCAACACCACCACCATATACTCTGACCTTGAACAAACCGTAACCAAAAAAAAATTTTTTCCTTGTGATTTGTTACACATACACAAGAATCTAAAATTTGACAGAATCCGTACTACCGTAACAGAGTATGATAATAATAGTATAATAAACTAATAATAGTCATAATAAGAATTTGGTTATAACAAATTTGCAATCAGTAATGATTAAAAAAAAAAACAAAACCAAGGAGCGAGAACCCAACGCAATATTAAAAATTTTCCTGACAAATGTCTGATATGATGTGACTGCTGTATGTGATGAGAAAATAAACGCCATGGCGTGTTATCTATGCTGGTCTTTTTGCCATAAATGTACGCTGCAACTTCGGGTTGTATCATACAGCCAACATATCCCCTTGCATTATATTACATAATATAGCATTCAATCATATTATCGATTGGCCAGATTGCCGATAACGATTCGAGTATGACAGTGGTAATAATAATAATAACAACATATAACAATGTTTACCCAGCTGTCAAACTTCAAACCGAACCCTCTCTTCCACTCATACTCTTACCCCTCATCCTTGCCCCCCAACATTTAAGCAGGGTAAACGGTTATGGCGATGAAAATAACCGTAAATATGCCAAATATGCCTCAACCCCATCAAAAAAATTTTCCCCCTTTTCACATTGTTATGCCATGTGGGCATATAACGAACAACAAAATTGGACTCTCTCGGACAAAAATAAACGTAAACGAAGAAAGACGCAAAAAAAAATATATTGGCAATTATGAAACAATGATTAACTAATGTTCAAAGTTTCCCTTAAGTTTTTTTTTCTGTCCTCCCTTCACGCTATTATTGGGTTTTTTTTTTCTTTCTAGTACAAACTTCTTATCTTTCGCTATCCCCAAGACTCATAAATAGTATATCAATCATCCAAAGCAAACTAACTGCAATCGATACTTATGCAGCTCCCATGTGAAAGGATTAGGTTACAAACAAACCTGGTTCTGCTGACCTATCAATGACGCATATAGGAATAATCGTGGCAGAGTGAGCGACTGATAAGCCTAATTGGGTAATTACATACATAAATATCACAAGACGACAAGGGAATTTGACAGATTGAATGAGGCTTTATTCGTCGGCTTGCATACAAAGAAACGAATAGAATTAAATAACATTGATGTAGCACAATATATTAGTTAATTCAATATGTCCATTCAATAAAGTAGGGTTGATATATTCGGGGTATATCAAAAAGCCCCTCATTTATCTTGACACCCCATACAACGTTTGTTCGCTTAAATTAGTTAACGTGGTTTTTTCGTCAAAGGAAATTGCGGGAAATTTACTCTTTATCTACGGTATGTAAATATAAATGATAAGCTTGTGCGGTGCGAAACACTTTACGCCCAATTGATCCACAGCCACATGGCGACAGAATGACCGTGTTTTTTTTCTCAACCAGAGAAAAATTAAAGTTTTAAAACCCGTCTTGGATATTTTGTAAACTAAAAAACTTTTGCGCAACCTGTCCCCGTTTTGTTGAATGAAACACTGTAAACATCTCGGTAATTCAGTCCCCAACGGATAAAAGATTTACACAACAATCCCATCTGCACGTCGCCATGCCAAGTACAACGGGTTTGCTATTTACGTCGTCGTTATACCGGGATCGCACTTGCGCCGTCATTCATGTAATAGTCGGATCAACGCTTGCCCTCATTTGATCGGCTGTGACGAAATTATGCTTGTTATCGCTGTCACAATTACGACAATGAATCGCGTTTTGCATCGTGAACGTTTAGAATCACACCCTGCATCCGTTTCAAAAAAAAAAAAAAGCCATTAAACTATAATGATGCGTGCTTATGTAAGATTATGTTGTCGGTGTCAGCAACGAGTCGTGTGCGCGTGAGTTGCCTTTTCGAACTCTCGGTTTCTATCTTGGGAAATATTATAATAGTAAATAATGAACCATTCTCATCCACCCAAAAGTCCCGCACATCCCCCCTTTCCTCCCGCCGACTAAACCGCAATCTGACTGATTTGGCAGAGATTTTCAAGCAAGTGTAGTTTGCAAGAGTTGCAGCAGGCCCCCAAAGGCATCTTATTCTGCATCTTCATTTGATTTGTGATTGTGGATAATGCAGTATTATACAGGTGAAACCTGTTTAAAACCGGCGCTGATTAAACCTTTAACCGGCCGCCTCATGATTTCATTAATTAGAAACTTACTCTAGCTAAACAATTTTCTGAACCAGTCTTTGGCTAAACCGGTCAAGAACCAGAAAATCAGGTCACGCCGGTTTAAACGCATTTTACCAGTATAATAATAAATAAATCAGTTGAATATACGGTATATGATTATTAGAAAGAAAAACTTGTCTGTCACACTTTCCCTGACTCATATGGGGCAGACTGCAACAAAACCAGACAAAGTGAACATTCTATAAATGAGGGACTGATTGTGATGTGACTGCAAAATTGATCAGGAAGACTGATGACGTTTTGCCTTGTTGATTTAATGCTCACTTTATCATACCAGAATGTGATGAATATAAACCATAATAATAACAGGATTAATATAGGGTTACCTCTATATATAAAATATTAATATGAAACTAATTTACATCAAATCCACTATGGAACCCAAAGGAACAAGGTGAAAAAATTGCTCCATATGTTTTGACACCAAAATTCTTGAGGAGTATCTAGATAAAGAAAAAATCACTTATGAAATTTACCAAGAAGAGCGAAAAATAATAAACCATAAACGAACATTAACCCCAATTTATGATGAACCAAGAAAAAAGCGAAAACTTGAAGAAACATAAGGAAAGTAAATAATTGATTGTTATTGTCTCTTCTTTTTTATCCTTTTTTGTAATACATAAAAAAGACCTAGACCACATAACACTAACACTGTAAGTCCAGATCACAGTAAAATAGACTTAGCATCAATTCATTTATTGTTGTTTGTCTTAGTTTTTTCTTTGTATCCCTCAGCTGCTTTAACAAAGTCTTCATCTTTGAGATCACTTACTTCTTGCTTAACATGATAAATGCTAGAGACTTGGAGATCCCGAGTACACCTGTAGTCTGGCATAACATAACACATCTCCGGAAAGTTTCTTTAATTACACGAGGGTTATCATCAATAAACATGTCAAAGTCAGTATATTCTTTTTCTTTTAACCATTGTCAGTGATAAGGTAGCACTACTCCTAATTCAGGATTGTAAGCACATTCTATCTGTTTCAGGTAAACATTTGGCAAATAATTTCAAGAGCGAGAGGCTTTGCTTATTTTATGTGGATTTCCTGTTGAAGGGTGCCTGCCTTTGCTAAAAGCTGTTAAAAGCATTATTTCTTTAATAAACCCTTCTTTATAGGCTAATAGTAATTCTTGTGCCAAACTTAATCAAGGCTTATCATCATAAGGATTTTCTGATTTATCAAAAGAGAGATCTTGTTTTTCTCAGTATTTGAGTTTTTTGTAATTTTCTCAGTTTTCTATTTCTTTCTCATCAGCTTTGTCAACGTAAGAATAACAACAAAGTTTCTCTTTATCTATATCTAGCCCCAAAGTATTATTAATATAGCCACCCGCTGCGTTTTTATAAACGATTGCCACGTTATTTCAAAACCTTTTAAAGTAGTCTTTAAAGGGCATTGATTTAGGAGAAGCAGCATAAAGTACTGCTAGTCTGCCTGGCTGTAAACATTCGTCTCAATCAGCAATTATTTTTAATAGACGACCTTTTTCCTGAGATTTTTGTTTGATTAATTCATAAAGAGAGTCAATTTTATTTTGATTCATAAATTTATTTTAACATAATATTTTTTTTACTCATCAACATAAACTGGCTTTGGACAAGTAATGTCTTTAAATTCATCTCTGACAAATGAACGAATATGATGATAAAAATATTCTTGTCTTTTATAATCCAAAGGAGGAGGGGTTAGTATAGTACTAGTACTAGGATGGAAAAAGATTTAATTTCTTTGGTAATTTCGGAAACACTTGTTTTTCTAGTTTTTAACAAATTGAATTTAGTAAAAGCACCATTAGCAACCAAGTGAGCTTTGACAATTCCAGGTTGAGTTGCTTCAAATAGAAAATGCTGGTATTTTTGCAGACCATTTAATTTCTTAAAGAAAATTCCCAACACAGAATTAAGATCTAAATATTGAAAGCCGTTGCCATTTTCATAACGCTGAGCTTTGTTTAATCCCGTTGTACTCGATTTTTTCACAACTTCAACAATATCGTTCACACAATTTACCGTTCTTTTGCGATATAGTTTCTTAACCAATCCAAAACTACCATCACACTTGAATTTAGTATGTCCAGGTATCATGAAATTTAATTCAATACTTTCATAATAACCGCAAATTATCAAATACAGATAAAATCAAATAGTGGCATTATTTTTATTCTGTCCACCCGCGTTGTCACAAGTAATCTTTAAATGGGGTTCACCTTTATTCAATCTCTTAATGCCATCGAATACCAGGCTCAGCGTACCATTAGGACCTTTACCTATTATTTCGTCTTCATCGAGAACGTAATTAATTTGTTCGCGTACTGCTTCATCTTGAATACCACTTTACGCGGACTAAGATAATAAATCTTACTTGCCTGTTGATCGGAATGGGGTACGTGAATGTTTTGTGCCCAATCGTAACTATAATGAGCAGTAGCGTCAATGCTACAATAATCAGCTTTACCTCCTGTTACGGCGTAATTATCATCTACCAATTTTCTCTGTTGTTCTGCTAATTTCGTATTGTTGTTGTAATAATTTCTCTCTAATTTAGCCTTAACCAGACGCTCTTTAAATCTTTTTAGTAAATCTTTTGCTTCTTCTTCCTTACGAGCATTGTATTGTAAGCCGTTCAGAAAATGTTGGCACGTGTCACATAAATTCGTTCTTGGACTCATTATTTGAATATAAGGCGTTAATTGATGCCACAACTTGCGGAATGCGTCATATTTTAATAATTTCAATGTGCTATCGTTTTCAAGACCTGCAATAAAATCATGATAGACTGACTTGTAACTTGTTTCAGCTGGCAAAAGTGTAAGTGATTGAGTAATGCGATTGACATTTCTACCAGGACTTGGTAGTCCATAAATTTCAGCATAGTTTTCAAGAAAATTTTTAACGGCGGTAGCAATGGTTATATCAATGGTTATTTTGGTTTTTCATCGCGGCACTTTTTTTACATTACCATGAACGCGCGGTATTATACCATTCGTCGCTAGGTGATTTCTGATGTTTTCGAAGTGAGTGCGACCAATACCTAACATATTAAGATACGTTTTTTGACAAAGCGACGTATTGCGATCTCAGTAATAAAACGTTCGCTTATTAGTACGCGTTTTCTTTTTCAGACGTCGGCTGGCAGTTATTTCTCCACCATTCATCGCTTTCAGCTGGGCCATTACAAATATATCTTGTTCAGATCCAGAAAGAGCTTGAAATGCCTCGCGTAATTTGGCAAATTCTTCTCTCGGAATCATTTTTGAACAACCACAATTGCAACCTATCTCCAAGAAACGTATGGCTTTTTCGTATTCAATTGAACCATTATATTCATTATTTATCATATATGGATAGTCCTATATATAAATTTTATCATTTTGTTTTACTATTACAATAAACTTATTTTCAGAAATTCTAAAGCACACAGTGGTGCACTGTAGTAACACCCTTTATTTTCTTTTGTCTTTCCATGTTACATTGCCTGGCATTTACTTTTTTGCTGACTCCACCTTCCCATACAAGTACAAGTGGCATCATCTGTTTCACCACCTCCTTTTTGTCACCTTCAGCACAAGACATTGGATCAGTCCACGTTTTTGACAACTTCTGAAGTAGTTCTTTTTTTGAAAGTGAAGATCTTGATAATGTATGTTTGCTAGTACTAGTACTGTCAACATGGAGAAATGGATATACATCCTCTGTGATGCCAAATAATCCCACAATCAGCTGATAATCTGCCCAGCTCTTTGCAGTTACAATGTCTTCATTTGTAAGAGCTTGTTCTAACTGAGCTTGACATTTGGATTTATTATTATTTGACTTGTCACCTTGAATTCCCTGTTCAACCCTCTTTAGATATAGATTCTTGATCTCACCTCTTTTATATATTATAGCCAAGACTGAAGTATAGCATGAGATATGGCAACTTTGGGTCATCATCCAACCCAGCAGCCTGTGGGGTAATTACAGTACTTGTGAACATTATATTGGGATCACTAAAATTGTAGTTGTGGGTTTGGATAATAATGTATGTAAACTCGCCATTGGCAAGTATAACTGGAATCCCATGGTCTATCACACTCTGTCCACATTGGCATTGAATTGCTGCACCATGACAGAAAAAACAATGTAGTAGTAGGCTTTCCTTTGTTATCCCTCGTTCTATAGCAATGAAATGTGTGAAAAACACAAGGCCATCAAATAAAACCTGCAAGTTTTCAGGGCTGATCTGGCCTTTCAGACTGCTGAGGTCCACCATCAGTGCTGACAGATACTCCTTTACAGTCAAGGGACATGTGTACATAAAGTCCAGAGAGTCTGCTTGTTTTTGATGGATGGTGTGATCCCATGCCAATGTAAGCAAGATCCGAACAGTCAGCTCCCCTTTTGGACCAGGTTCCACTAACCCTTCTCGAATGAAGCTGATAAGTGGTTCAAGGTTTTCACTGAATTTGATCTTGGAGTGATTGAGAATTTGTGCTGCAGCCTCAGCAACAAGAGGCTCTGAGGAGTAGCCAACATACAGTCTTGTGATTTTGAGACACAGCAAGACAGACACCTAGCCAATTTGCAATCAAGTCACTTGCTAATTCTCCTTGCAGCTTGACAAGAAGACTCGCTCTTACACACCACAAGGCAATCATATTTTGATCAATGATTACCCTCCTTGGGTCCTGTTTGATGTCATCCATCCTCAAAATTAATTCCACCCATTAGTTTACATTTGGCACTCATTATGGCTCTCAACACAGCTGCTTTGGTGATTCAGTGTCCCCAAAATCATCCAGAGTGTGCCCCCAAAGAACACATCCTAATCCCTGCTGAAAGAACTCTCTCAAGAACTCATTCAGAGGAGTGCTCCAGCAATATACAGTAAGTAGTGAGCATGCATTAATACATGTTGCAAGAACATCCCACAGGTCAATGGTCCAATATTATCACAATGTCCTGACATTGACATGTGGCTTTTGCCCTTTAGTCCTGTTTCTTGTTGTTCTTTCATGGTACTTTCCACCTCTCCACTAATCAATGGTTAAATACATTGGGATTAGAGACTATATTAATATATGTACTGCACAGAGGTGTGGTTGATCACAATTCGTACTTCTACTCAATAATAAATACCGTAAACTCTCATGAATAAGAGCCCACCATGAATAAGAGCCCCCCTATATGAAAGTGGCGATCATGTGATAAGATCTGTAATGGTTTGAAAACGGCTAACCCCCCTACCCCCCTCATCACCCACTTTATTATCAACCAATAACGCCATATATGATATATGCAGCTCGTGATTATGTAATAAAGGAAAATAACGTGGGCAACTGTTACGTGACGATGGGTGGCTTAAAAACAATGCAAAATGATCTACAACCAACCCATCCATGAATAAGAG